TTATCTGAGTTAAGGAGACACCGTGAGAACCCTATTTTATCATCTGAGTTAAAGAGACACGTTGAGAACCCTATTATATCATCTGAGTTAAGGAGACACCGTGAGAACCCTATTTTATCATCTGAGTTAAGGAGACACCGTGAAATCCCTATTTTATCATCTGAGTTAAGGAGACACGGTGAGAACTCTATTTTATCATCATATGTGTTTTTTTTATATTTTTTTCATAAGATATGTAAATTGAAATATGAAACTCTTTTCAGATTTGTGTTTAATTTGTATCAATTAAGAATAATTAAAAAAATAATTCCTTAGAATTCTAAGTGCGTGATTTTAGCCAGTGCTGGCTAGTAAACCGGAGGCATTGGATCAAATGAAAACCCCGTTATCATTGAACAGATGTTATAGTACTAGTAGATAGAATATTTCCTGTATAACATTTATTCAGTATAAATATTTACCGACCAGAAGAAGATGTTTTACAAACATCCTGTTATTAGTATTATACTATTCCTGATCTAGGTCCAGTGTCACAACGTTACGGTCAAATGAAAAGATGGTGCTCTCAGTTTCCATGTGCTTAGGGGATGCTGTGAGAATGACAAATGTAGACCATTAGAGATCATCTAACGTCAACTGACATGGTATTGAGCAGGACAATGACATTAATTATCTTGGTCTAGTAGTATCATCGTTTAGGTTAAACGTAAGACCGTTACCGGTTCGGACTATTGTCTCTGGAATTATCTGTTACTACCAGTCCTAGTTGTCTCGTTATAAACACACACGAAATTCATTATAACGCCGAGAGAAACTACAATCCAGACTGAAAATTATTGGTAGCATGAGTTATAAAAAATCGAGATATCGCGCTTAGCTGTGAAAAGACGGGAATGGATTGACTTAGTGAAGATAACACACGTTGTCAGCTATATAGTAAATGCGCTTCAGTTACGTTATACCATCCGACAGAGTGAAACAAAGGGAGGTAACTGTTGTTGTCAGAATACGCTCTCATTCAGATTATGGAGTTATCTATTTAGAACTTTTACTTTTTCGTTTCGTAAAAATTATGTGATTTCCATATCAGAATCAGCATGGAAATTCTAAACAGAAGGCACACCTGATTTTTTTCTAGCAGACGATGATGACAAACTTGATAATACATTTCTTGTCATAATTTTGAGTTTTGCATATAACATAATCCCAGCTTCTTAGATTCCTTGTTTTGTCTGGAAAGGCCTTTAACTAAAGTCTAACAACTTCGGATTTTCGTTCTGAAAGTGGCAGGCTACCATTTTTGTTTCACTGGTAGACAATCTCATATACTGCATTAAGGTAAACTAAAGATATGTACGCAAATGTAGCACAGAATGTAAACATGAATAAATGTTTGGCTATAAATAGTAAAATAATTATAATATTCTAAAGTAAACATTATCTCTCGGATTTGTACTCATGACACAATAAAAAGCCGACCAAGAACTGCCCCAACACAATCTCAATATCTAATGGTGCTGTCACGAATCCATGTGCTCTTTATATCCCTTTTACGTCATTGTATAGAATCATAAATATATAAACATGATTAGTATTGTAAACGATACCACGACTAGTCAGTGGTATATGACTGGGATATACACCATATTTATGATAAATATTATATAAGATACCACGACTAGTCAGTGGTATATGACTGGGGTATACACCATATTTATGATAAATATTATATAAGGGGATATACACCATATTTATGATAAATATTATATAAGATACCACGACTAGGTAATGGTATATGATAGAAAACTGGGATATATACCAGAGATAAATTTTATATACAAAACACTCCACGTTCATGTGTAGATAAATCACAGAATCAAATCATTTGTCTACATTGTATGGGAAAACTCCAATATACAATTAGGATGTACGTTAATCTAGAGACTTTTATCAGTTATTCAAAGATATTAACAAAGTTGTATAAAACATATCTATAGCTTGACGTCTAATCCTACTTAGTATTGAACAGTAACCTGTGGAGAGAAATCTTACATCACAGTTCTGTAAATGGCAAAAAATTGACGTGAAGAATGTAGCAATGTGAATCAGTCCCTCGTCATCAGAGTGTGAATCTTACCTACATGTAGTTTGTAACTGACAACTGATTGACAGGTTAATTGTCCAGTGGTTTGACCAGTGGGTTAGTACATGGACACTGGGTTAAGTAATGAACTCGCGTGACCTCTGGAGGACATGACTAGTAGCGACATCTGTCCCGTTACACCGTAATGACTGTAACACTGGCTTCACACCGGACACGGTGACACATGACGTAAGAAATAAACATAGGTGTCAGTTTCACAGAAACACGTAACGAGGAAATTTACGAGGGGGACCAAATCCGATATCTCTCGAAACCATTCATTTTTATTGGGGTAGGAACGAGGAAGTGCTTTTCTTTTTATACAGAAATAAAACGGGGACTGTTTTTAATGTTGTGTAATTATCACGTGACCAACCTCGTTAACGACCGGACATGATTGAACGCAAAAGTTGGCTGAACTCTTTAGTTTCTTCCGGTACATGCAAACGCAGTCTTGTTCATGACGAATTAAATCACTGAATTAGATATCGAAGTCCGTGAATAAATCGATTATTGAACAAAAACACAGACGTTGTTCAAAATAAACGGAACGCAAATGTTTGTACGGATGAAGACCTTTACATGAGGAGCTTTCTGAGTTCCAATAAAGATCAGGAGTTGTGATCTATTTTTAACTTTTCAGATTTCACCCATCATACATACAGTTGTTACTGATCTAGGCGATGCATTGTCACCAAACAATTTGTAAAAACAGCGCAAACTGTAGATAAAATTCAAAATCCACTTTTCCTATTAATTCTGCATAAACTCTCATTTCAGATTCAAATGACAGTCATTTTCCCTTCAATCTTTTTATATATAAGAATTTATGAAAAAGATATTTTCTGGTTTTTATTTAATGTAATCAATTTATACGCAGTCGAGCTCTCGAATGTAACACCCAAGACTACTGAATATCGGAAAGTTTCTGTAAATGGTATAACAGGCTTCCAGGGTTCGCTGTCTGGTGATGTCAGTGTCCGCCAGTACGGGGTTACTCTGTGTCTTAAACAGGGTGTTACCTCCTACAGCAGGGTTCCAAGGACGAATTAATAACCCGTTATTTATAAATCATCCAGAAGCCTGGACATAACCCCTACATGACGGACTATTTTTTTTTGTTTCGACGTAACGTTGACATCACGCTGCTGGTATTAGACAAATGGTGAACAGAGCTTGTTGCTAGAAAGAGTCACGCCTTGTTTATAAAAAATGTCGTTTGTCTTATTTTGTTCTCTGTGTTGTCATTCATAATCTCATGAATATTGTTCTTATCAGGTTACTAGCTAGCATTAAGGACAAGTCTCTATAAGCATAAAAATGCTTTCTATTTTGGACTAATACAGACACAAAACAATAATAACATATGAATTATTTTTGAAATCTCCAGCCTCACATTTAAATTTGTAGTTTTTGAATTCATAGAGCCTTCATTTGAATGCTATTTAGATTTTCATAGATTTTGTAAAATATTTTGATATGAATTATTCCTAGACAAGATGAGAGAGACTTTGTATGTAAATTTTATATATAAGAATTACTTTGTATATAAAGTTTATAGATAAGAAAAACTTTGTATATAAAGTTTATAGATAAGAATTACTTTATATATAAAGTTTATAGATAAGAGAAACTGTATATAAAGTTTATAGATAAGAATTACTTTGTATATAAAGTTTATAGATAAGAGAAACTGTATATAAAGTTTATAGATAAGAATTACTTTATATATAAAGTTTATAGATAAGAGAAACTGTATATAAAGTTTATAGATAAGAGAAACTTTGTATATAAAGTTTATAGATAAGAGAAACTGTATATAAAGTTTATAGATAAGAAAAACTTTGTATATAAAGTTTATAGATAAGAGAAACTGTAGATAAAGTTTATAGATAAGAGAAACTGTATATAAAGTTTATAGATAAGAAAAACTTTGTATATAAAGTTTAGAGATAAGAGAAACTTTGTATATAAAGTTTATAGATAAGAGAAACTTTGTATATAACGTTTATTGATAAGAATTACTATGTATATAAAGTTTATTGATAAGAATTACTATGTATATAAAGTTTATAGATAAGAAAACTTTGTTTATAAAGTTTATAGATAAGAGAAACTTTGTATATAAAGTTTAGAGATAAGAAAAACTTTGTAGATAAAGTTTAAGTTGTATATAAAGTTTATAGATAAGAGAAACTTTATATAAAGTTTATAGATAAGAAAAACTTTGTAGATAAAGTTTATAGATAAGAGAAACTTTGTATATAAAGTTTATAGATAAGAGAAACTTTGTATATAAAGTTTATATGTATATAAAGTTTATTGATAAATTTGTATATAAAGTTTATAGATAAGAGAAACTTTGTATATAAAGTTTATTGATAAGAAAACTTTGTATATAAAGTTTATTGATAAGAAAAACTTTGTATATAAAGTTTATAGATAAGAGAAACTGTATATAAAGTTTATAGATAAGAGAAACTTTGTATAAAGTTTATAGATAAGAAAAACTTTGTAGATAAAGTTTATAGATAAGAGAAACTGTATATAAAGTTTATAGATAAGAGAAACTTTATATATAAAGTTTATAGATAAGAGAAACTGTATATAAAGTTTATTGATAAGAATTACTATGTATATAAAGTATATAAAGTTTATAAAGTTTATAAGAGAAACTGTATATAAACTTTATAGATAAGAGATATTTTGTATTTGACGTTTGATGGTTTTTATTCTTTGTATCTATGGTAAAAGATACATTATAGGTATTTTGTATTTATAAATATGATATATTTGTATTTGTATATAACGTTTGAGGGGTTTTATATTTTGTATTTATAGATAAAAGAAACCCAGAATGGATGATCCTCTCGGAGCAGTTTTTCGGAAGAAATGTCACCTGATATTACTTCTCATTGTCATCGCCACTACAGCGCATGCTCAGAGTGAGTGGTTTTGATAACTGTATACTATTTGCAGTGGTACCACAGCATTCCGTTTACAAGTGGTAATTGATGTTTGATTGACAACATGACTTAACTCGTCAATTCATTTGACAATAATGAAGGGTGTAAGATGTATGAGGGCCTTGTATCTTATTCTTAATCTATATTGAGATGTGTTATTTGTCTTTATGTCTGTACAATCAAAGATAGGACATACACACTTAATATTACATTGAAATTATCCGTGACGTCATAGTTGCAAGCTGGTAAATAAAACTAGTTAAGTCACAATATGTTTCTCACAAATCTAAAAACAAAACATTATGTTAAACAATAAATTATTTCCGAATCCCCCTTCGGAGGAGTTTTGTCACATTTTGGTATGAATTAACTTGGCTACTGATGATATTACTAAAATCTACAAAACAGAAATAACACGTTTATCAATAACATCAGAAGGACGAAGAATATCAATATTCATCGTGCGCATGTACAAAACACGTTTCCGTTTCCTGTCATTTTTGTTGATATTTTCAGATATCACTTGTGCGGTTCCGTCTGATGTGGTATTTGTTTTGGACGGTTCGGAAAGTCTAAGTGAAGTGAACTTTTCAAATATGAAGACATTTGTATTGGAATTACTGTCAAAGTTTCAAGTCTCGTACGCTTTCACGAGAGTTGGTGTGATTGTGTACGGGACCATACCAGGCGATATAGTCTATTTAGGATCAGTAAATTATCTACAGGTCCTGGAAATCACAATACGAAATCTTAACCAACCAAAATCCGGAACCGGAACCCCGAAAGCAATAGAAAGAATGCGCAGAATGTTCAACGAGAGGGGTAAGATTTTATTGTGTAGTTTTATGATACTATGTAGTGTAAAAGTAATTCATCTATTTCCGTTTATTGGACTGGACGCTATTTATGGTTACCTTATACCGCACAAACACTGTTACGTACAAACGCATAAGGAATTTCGGGGCTGTCCACGAACCTATTGCCTTCTGTATTTTATCATCACCATTCTTTGCTCGTGTTGTCATATTCAGGTCGATCGGGAGTGGATAAAGTAGGAATCGTCATCACTGATGGTCGGTCGGTATCACCAGAACAGACAAAACAACAGGCAGATCTCGCCAAGAGTGCAGGCATTAGTATCATCTCGATCGGCTTCGGCTCAAACGTCTTCCGGTAAGGCTTATAACATAGAAAATAAATTCCATGTGTTGTAGACACATCACTGTGTATGGTTTGTTGTATTGTAGAAGACACATCACTATGTATGGTTTGTTGTGTTGTAGAAGACACACCAATGTGTATGGTTTGTTGTGCTGTAGAAGACACATCGCTGTGTATGGTTTGTTGTGTTGTAGAAGACACATCACTATGTATGGTTTGTTGTGTTGTAGAAGACACACCAATGTGTATGGTTTGTTGTGTTGTAGAAGACACACCAATGTGTATGGTTTGTTGTGTTGTAGAAGACACACCAATGTGTATGGTTTGTTGTGTTGTAGAAGACACACCAATGTGTATGGTTTGTTGTGTTGTAGAAGACACACCACTGTGCATGGTTTGTTGTGTTGTAGAAGACACACCACTGTGCATGGTTTGTTGTGCTGTAGAAGACACACCATGGTTTGTTGTGTTGTAGAAGACACACCAATGTGTATGGTTTGTTGTGTTGTAGAAGACACACCACTGTGCATGGTTTGTTGTGCTGTAGAAGACACACCACTGTGTATGGTTTGTTGTGTTGTAGAAGACACATCACTATGTATGGTTTGTTGTGTTGTAGAAGACACACCAATGTGTATGGTTTGTTGTGTTGTAGAAGACACACCAATGTGTATGGTTTGTTGTGTTGTAGAAGACACACCAATGTGTATGGTTTGTTGTGTTGTAGAAGACACACCGTTGTAGAAGACACACCACTGTGCATGGTTTGTTGTGTTGTAGAAGACACACCACTGTGCATGGTTTGTTGTGTTGTAGAAGACACACCAATGTGTATGGTTTGTTGTGTTGTAGAAGACACACCACTGTGCATGGTTTGTTGTGCTGTAGAAGACACATCGCTGTGTATGGTTTGTTGTGTTGTAGAAGACACATCAATGTGTATGGTTTGTTGTGCTGTAGAAGACACATCACTGTGTATGGTTTGTTGTGCTGTAGAAGACACATCACCGTATATGGTTTGTTGTGCTGCAGAAGACACATCACCGTATATGGTTTGTTGTGCTGTAGAAGACACATCACCGTATATGGTTTGTTGTGCTGTAGAAGACACACCACTGTGTATGTTTTGTTGTGCTGTAGAAGACACACCACTGTGTATGGTTTGTTGTGCTGTAGAAGACACATCACCGTATATGGTTTGTTGTGTTGTAGAAGACACATCGCTGTGTATGGTTTGTTGTGCTGTAGAAGACACACCACTGTGTATGTTTTGTTGTGCTGTAGAAGACACACCACTGTGTATGTTTTGTTGTGCTGTAGAAGACATATAATTGTGTATGGTTTGTTGTGCTGTAGAAGACACACCACTGTGTATGTTTTGTTGTGCTGTAGAAGACATATAATTGTGTATGGTTTGTTGTGCTGCAGAAGACACATCACCGTATATGGTTTGTTGTGCTGTAGAAGACACTACTGTGTATTGGTAGTTGGTTGATAACATCCACTGATGGTTGAAGACTCTCATTATGACCTGTTTATAATAACATTGTTATCTAGGACGGAACTAGAACAGATAGCTAGCAGCAGCTCCCTGGTGTTTGAATCTAACGACTTCAACATGCTTCTCAGTGAAGTGGAGGTCGCCATGCGGAGCCTCATCTGCCATGGTAAGTTATGTTTTCTTTGACTAATTATTTAGAGTCTGATTTCGAAAAAAAATTATGTTACGAGAGCTGATTGGTAGGTTGTGAGTCTTATATTGAACAAGATAAGCAGGGATGTCCTTTTTCAGCCCTATTATTCCCTGACTATTTCAGGCTGCGTACCCGAAGACTGGTATTATTTGCCAGTCTATGTCGAACAGGTACCACTCTTATGTAAACAAGGCAAATGACTTTTGCAAAATGGAAAAAAATCGCTGAAAGAGCAATGATTCAATATTTACGCAAGAAAAGTCGCGCACTAAAGGATATCCAAACTGATATTGTAGCAACTACTACTCATATGCTACAGTAAAAAGGTGAATGGCGGAATTAAAACGTGGCAGGCAGAGCCTTGGGGATGACGCCCGTCCTGGAAGGCCTGTTACTATATTAACCCAAGAAATGGTGAATAAAGTTCATGATATTGTTATGGCTGAGAGGCGAGTTACAGAGAGATATATAGCCAGTACGTTCCGTTCTTACGGAAGATCTTGCAATGAGAAAGGGTACTAAGACTTCTGACAGTTGATCAGAAGCACACCGAGCCATGCTAATCTTAAGATTTTGGAGGTAGATCCTGCCTGAGGTTTGTGTGACCCCAGAGGTCAAACAACAGTCTAAACAACGGAAGCACCCTGGTTCATCCCCGCCGAAGAAGGCAAAGACTTTTCCATCACCCGGAAAGGTTATGGCCGCGGTTTACTGAGATGCTGATGGTATTCTGATGATAGATTATATGTAAAAGGGACGAACAATCAATGGCACAGACTATGCATCATTTCTTGGGCAGTTAAGAGAAAATATTAAACTCAAACATCTCGGAAACCGCAATAAAGTTATGTTGTTTAACAGGACGATGATCATGTTCACAAGTCTGTTATTGCAATGCTGGCATGAACGATTTCCAAAATTGAAAAATATAACCACTTTTTGTCAGATGATGACGTCATACATGCTGTGGAGGACATTCTGAGCGGCAAAGAAAGCAAAAGTGGCATTAAGAGCCTTAAACATCGCTGGCAAAAAGGGGATTACTTTGAAAAGTAAAGCAATATGTCCGCCAAAAGTCAAACGTTTAGATATGAGGCTCACAGCTTATCAATCAGCCCTCGTAATGTATAAAGAATCATTATACTTTGATATGAGGTGTTTTAAGATTTAGGTATATTAGTAGTATATGAACCTATGTTTTATATGCCTGAAAATTAAAACAGACCTTGTCACCCTCCTGCAGACAAGAAACAATCATGGAATACTATTATAGAGGTGATGACCCACGCATCCCAGGCTTAACAATAGCTGTTTTATTCTTTAAATTTTACCAAGAGTTAAAATCATCAAGGTATCAATTTTCATGATTTTAGTCCATTTTCGAAAATTTGAACACCTTGAGAACAGCAACATCTATAGTAGTATATAACCATTAACACATGTATGAACTATAAATAGAAGGTTATTTCCAATGACAGTGATTACTACCACCATTACCACCACCACAACTACAACCACTACTACTACGCCTGCGCCAACTACTCAGGCGCCAACTACCCAGGCGCCCACCACCCTGGCGCCAACTACTCAGGCCCCGACCACACCGGCGCCGACGACCAGGGCACCAACGACGCAAGCGCCGACCACGCAAGCGCCTATCACGCAAGCACCTACCACGCAAGCGCCGACGACTCCGCAGCCAATGACACAAGCGCAAACTACACGACGTCCAATAACACCGATTCCTACACTGCCCCCTACCGGCAGTCTGTTATCAACTGTGATAAGTAAGTGTTGTAAAGGGTTCTTTGTTCCCATACTCTGTCAGAGGCTGATTCACGGCCAAAACACAAATATTAATTAAAAATGTCACATTTTTTGTGATTATATCATCACACACTAACGGGTAAATATGTTTGTGATTATATCATCACACTAACAGGTAAATATTTTTGTTATTATATCATCACACACTAACAGGTAAATATGTTTGTGATTATATCATCACACACTAACGGGTAAATATGTTTGTGTTATATCATCACACACACTAACGAAATATGTTTGTGATTATATCATCACACATCAAAATATGTTTGTGATTATATCACACACTAACGGGTAACGGATTATATCATCACACACTAACGGTAAATATGTTTGTGATTATATCATCACACTAACGGGTAAATATGTTTGTGATTATATCATCACACTAACGGGTAAATATGTTTGTGATTATATCATCACACTAACGGGTAAATATGTTTGTGATTATATCATCACACACTAACGGGTAAATATGTTTGTATCATCACACTAACGTGATTATATCATCACACACTAACGGGTAAATATGTTTGTGATTATATCATCACACTAACGGGTAAATATGTTTGTGATTATATCATCACACACTACACACTAACGGGTAAATATGTTTGTGATTATATCACACTCACACACACACACTAACGGGTAAATATGTTTGTGATTATATCATCACACACTAACGGGTAAATATGTTTGTGATTATATCATCACACACTAACGGGTAAATATGTTTGTGATTATATCATCACACACTAACGGGTAAATATGTTTGTGATTATATCATCACACTAACAGGTAAATATGTTTGTTATTTGGGTAAATATGTTTGTGATTATATCATCACACTAACGGGTAAATATGTTTGTGATTATATCATCACACACTAACGGGTAAATATGTTTGTGATTATATCATCACACACTAACGGGTAAATATGTTTGTGATTATATCATCACACACTAACGGGTAAATATGTTTGTGATTATATCATCACACACTAACGGGTAAATATGTTTGTGATTATATCATCACACACTAACAGGTAAATATTTTTGTGATTATATCATCACACACTAACGGGTAAATATTTTTGTGATTATATCATCACACTAACGGGTAAATATGTTTGTGATTATATCATCACACACTAACGGGTAAATATGTTTGTGATTATATCATCACACACTAACGGGTAAATATGTTTGTTATTATATCATCACACTAACGGGTAAATATGTTTGTGATTATATCATCACACACTAACGGGTAAATATGTTTGTGATTATATCATCACACACTAACGGGTAAATATGTTTGTGATTATATCATCACACACTAACAGGTAAATATGTTTGTGATTATATCATCACACACTAACGGGTAAATATGTTTGTGATTATATCATCACACACTAACGGGTAAATATGTTTGTGATTATATCATCACACACTAACGGGTAAATATGTTTGTGATTATATCATCACACACTAACGGGTAAATATGTTTGTGATTATATCATCACACTAACGGGTAAATATGTTTGTGATTATATCACACACTAACGGGTCACACTAACGGGTAAACATATTTGTGATTATATCATCACACACTAACGGGTAAATATGTTTGTGATTATATCACACACTAACGGGTAAATATGTTTGTGATTATATCATCACACACTAACGGGTAAATATGTTTGTGATTATATCATCACACACTAACGGGTAAATATGTTTGTGATTATATCATCACACTAACGGGTAAATATTTTTGTGATTATATCATCACACTGTATCTATATACATTACATATATTCATATATATGAATATATTTTTGCAGGTGACCTTTGTCCTAATTGTATAATTGGACGTAACTGGGGTTACAGGCCCTATCCAGGTGACTGCACGCGGTACATCTCCATGTTTCCCGACGGTCGGGGTGGACGGGTGTCCAGTGTACAGAAATGTCCTTTCGGATCGTGGTGGGACTCTTACAGCGTATCCTGTCGCTATCCGGTCGATGTCTCGTGCACTGACGGTAAGTTTAAACCTGTTGACCTTATAAGGCAAAAATGTAAACAAAACTGATAAAAACACGTAATGATGATATGACATTGTTTATGTATGTACATTCTGTGTATCATTTGCCGATATGTTACAACTATACCGATCTGTAGTACATGTAAATATTTACTACACGTTACACTGATTTGGTCTGTGTATACCAGGTGGTGTCGTCACAGGTCCAGAGTTGTCGAACTTTAGTACGACGACTTAAAAAAAAACATTGAAGTAACTGTGCGAAGATAATTTCTTAAGATCATCGTTTTTAAGGTTACTGACGTCATCATTTGGTTAAGCGGTAAATTCAAACACAATTTTTTATTCAAATTACGAAAATTATGATAACAGCATTTACTTATAACAGCATTTATTTATTACCTACATCTCGACCTGACTACTTCAGTCCACAGGGATCTATGACGCAGAGATACAGAATGTCAGTGTGGTGACTGATGGTAGAATGTCACCTGTTTATAGCTGTTTACCTTGCACTTTACATGTGTACAAAGGGAAAAAAATCTATACCGTTTTTGTCAATGTTAACAAAGAATACATCATTCGTCACGTGACGTTATATTACGGTGTACTTAAACGTCATATAATATATGCTTTGTACCAGTTATATTAACTACCAACAGACAATATACTTAATTACTGTTTACTACCTGTAACAATGACTGATATTTGTAATGATTTACCTGATATAGATCCGTGCCGAGGGGTCAGTTATGGAGCTTTCCCGATGGAAGACGTCTGCTCCGGGTTTTGGTTTTGCATCAACGGCAAAGCCTATCCGTCCTGTTGTCCGAAACAAAACCAGCGTTTCCTTGGTAACGGGCCCCAGCTGAACTGTTCTGATACTCCCTTTTGTCCCGACAGCTGTCCTCCAGCTGACCTGAACAGACTGGTGGGGACGATCGGTAAGTGACGACATTTGTGTAGATCAGTTACTGCACTTCTCTCAGGTCCATATAGTCACCCAACATAATAGCAGAGACGTGATATATACGTCTCTGATAATAGCAAACAGTACAAACATTTACGTCATTACTTTTCATTTCATTCTTTTTCTTCGAATATCGTTATTTAAATACGTATGTCAATCGCAGTTTGGAATTAAATAAGTTTGAAGGATTACGTTGTACATACTCAATACCCCTTGATTAGAACCATAGACATATTTACCGAATCACCGACATATTTACCGAATCACCGACATATTTACCGAATCACCGACATATTTACGGAGTCACCGACTTATTTACCGAATCACCGACATGTTTAGGGATTCACCGACATATTTACCGAATCACCGACATATTTACCGAGTCACCGACATATTTACCGAATCACCGACATATCTACCGAGTCACCGACATATTTACCGAATCACCGATATATTTACGGAGTTACCGACATATCTACCGAATCACCGAGCAGGAGAAGAAACACCGAGAACTAATAGTGTTTTTTTTTCTTTGCTTATGAACGGACATTTGTAACCGACTGTTAATTTTTTTTTAAATCTCCGGAGCTAGATTATGATATTTCTGACCACTTGTATATTTATGGAGGAATAAAGAATATGAATTCATTATAATGGTCAAGTTAACCCAACATCTCGATGATATTTTTTTCTGTAAAATATTACTCATTGTAACTGGTCATACTTTGAATAACCAAGAAAGTCCTCAAACACCTAACTAACCAACCGTGACCGTGACAGGCAAGGTGTTTACAGATGAAGTATGAACTATCGCTGACAATAACTTACCCGGATTAATTATCAGAAATTACCTTATAAGGATTAGTTCATTTCTTTCTACTTATGTATTTTACTTGGTAAACAGAAGTTTATGAATAATGCTAATTTAAAACTTTCATTAATTAAATTATCAAATATTGTAGGATGGATTTATATATAATTAAATATTGTAGGATGGATTATCTATATAATTAAATATTGTAGGATGGATTTATATATAATTAAATATTGTAGGATGGATTTATATATAATTAAATATTGGGATTTTATATATAATTAAATATTGTAGGATGGATTTATTATAATTAAATATTGTAGGATGGATTTATATATAATTAAATATTGTAGGATGGATTTATATATAATTAAATATTGTAGGATTATATATAATTAAATATTGAGGATTTATATATATAATTAAATATTGTAGGATGGATTTATATATAATTAAATATTGTAGGATGGATTTATATATAATTAAATATTGTAGATTTATATATAATTAAATATTGTAGGATGGATTTATATATAATTAAATATTGTAGGATGGATTTATATATAATTAAATATTGTAGGATGGATTTATATATAATTAAATATTGTAGGATGGATTTATATATAATTAAATATTGTAGGATGGATTATATATAATTAAATATTGTAGGATATATAATAAATTTGTAATTTATATATAATTAAATATTGTAGGATGGATTTATATATAATTAAATATTGTAGGATGGATTTATATATATTAAATATTGTGGAATGGATTTATATATAATTATATATATTAAATATTGTAGGATGGATTTATATATAATTAAATATTGTAGGATGGATTTATATATAATATTGTAGGATGGATTTATATATAATTAAATATTGTAGGATGGATTTATATATAATTAAATATTGTAGGATGGATTTATATATAATTAAATATTGTAGGATGGATTATATATATAATTAAATATTGTAGGATGGATTTATATATAATTAAATATTGTAGGATATATAATTAAATATTGTAGGATGGATTATATATATAATAAATATTGTAGGATGGATTATCTATATAATTAAATATTGTAGGATGGATTTATATATAATTAAATATTGTAGGATGGATTTATATATAATTAAATATTGTAGGATGGATTTATATATAATTAAATATTGTAGGATGGATTTATATATAATTAAATATTGTAGGATGGATTTATATATAATTAAATATTGTAGGATGGATTTATATATAATTAAATATTATAGGATGGATTTATATATATAATTAAATATTGTAGGATGGATTATATATATAATTAAATATTGTAGGATGGATTTATATATAATTAAATATTGTAGGATGGAATATATAATTAAATATTGTAGGATGGATTTATATATAATTAATTTGTAATGGATTTATATATGTAGGATGGATTATATATATTAAATATTGTAATATATATATTGTAGGATGGATTTATATATAATTAAATATTGTAGGATGGATTTATATATAATTAAATATTGTAGGATGGATTTATATATAATTAAATATTGTAGGATGGATTTATATATAATTAAATATTGTAGGATGGATTATATATAATTAAATATTGTAGGATGGATTTATATATAATTAAATATTGTAGGATGGATTTATATATAATTAAATATTGTAGGATGGATTTATATATAATTAAATATTATAATTAAATATTGTAGGATGGATTTATATATAATTAAATATTGTAGGATTTTAATATAATTATTGTAGGATGTATAATTAAATATTGTAGGATGGATTTATATATAATTAAATATTGTAGGATGGATTTATATATAATTAAATATTGTAGGATGGATTTATATATAATTAAATATTGTAGGATGGATTTATATATAATTAAATATTGTAGGATGGATTAGCTATATAATTAAATATTGTAGGATGGATTTATATATAATTAAATATTGTAGGATGGATTAGCTATATAATTAAATATTGTAGGATGGATTTATATATAATTAAATATTGTAGGATGGATTTATATATAATTAAATATTGTAGGATGGATTTATATATAATTAAATATTGTAGGATATATATATAATTAAATATTGTAGGATGGATTTATATATAATTAAATATTGTAGGATGGATTTATATATAATTAAATATTGTAGGATGGATTTATATATAATTAAATATTGTAGGATGGATTTATATATAATTAAATATTGTAGGATGGATTTATATATAATTAAATATTGTAGGATGGATTAGCTATATAATTAAATATTGTAGGATGGATTAGCTATATAATTAAATATTGTAGGATGGATTTATATATAATATATGGATATATATAATTAAATATTGTAGGATGGATTTATATATAAAATTTGTAAATATTGTATATTAATATAATTAAATATTGTAGGATGGATTTATATATAATTAAATATTTATATATAATTAAATATTGTAGGATGGATTTATATATAATTAAATATTGTAGGATGGATTTATATATAATTAAATATTGTAGGATGGATTTATATATAATTAAATATTGTAGGATGGATTTATATATAATTAAATATTGTAGGATGGATTTATATATAATTAAATATTGTAGGATGGATTTATATATAATTAAATATTGTAGGATGGATTTATATATAATTAAATATTGTAGGATGGATTTATATATTATTAAATATTGTAGGATGGATTTATATATAATTAAATATTGTAGGATGGATTAGCTTCATAATTAAATATTGTAGGATGGATTTATATATTATTAAATATTGTAGGATGGATTTATATATAATTAAATATTGTAGGATGGATTTATATATAATTAAATATTGTAGGATGGATTTATATATAATATAATTAAATATTGTAGGATGGATTTATATATAATTAAATATTGTAGGATGGATTTATATATAATTAAATATTGTAGGATGGATTTATATATAATTAAATATTGTAGGATTTATATATATAATTAAATATTGTAGGATATATATATAAATATTGTAGGATATTTATATATAATTAAATATTGTAGGATGGATTATATATATAATTATATATATTGTAGGATGGATTTATATATAATTAAATATTGTATATATAATTAAATATTGTAGGATGGATTTATATATAATTAAATATTGTAGGATGGATTTATATATAATTAAATATTGTAGGATGGATTTATATATAATTAAATATTGTAGGATGGATTTATATATAATTAAATATTGTAGGATGGATTTATATATAATAAATATTGTAGGATGGATTATATATAATTAAATATTGTAGGATGGATTTATATATAATTAAATATTGTAGGATGGATTTATATATAATTAAATATTGTAGGATGGATTAGCTATATAATTAAATATTGTAGGATGGATTTATATATAATTAAATATTGTAGGATGGATTTATATATAATTAAATATTGGATGGATTATATATAATTAAATATTGTAGGATGGATTTATATATAATTAAATATTGTAGGATGGATTATAATATATATATATTTAAATATTGTAGGATGGATTTATATATAATTAAATATTGTAGGATGGATTATCTATATAATTGAATATTGTAGGATGGATTATCAATATAATTGAATATTGTAGGATGGATTATCAATATAATTAAATATTGTAGGATGGATTTATATATAATTAAATATTGTAGATGGATTAGCTATATAATTAAATATTGTAAATATTGTAGGATGGATTATATATAATTAAATATTGTAGGATGGATTTATATATATTAAATATTGTAGGATGGATTTATATATAATTAAATATTGTAGGATGGATTTATATATAATTAAATATTAATTAAATGTAGGATGGATTATCTATATAATTGAATATTGTAGGATGGATTATCTATATAATTAAATATTGTAGGATGGATTTATATATAATTAAATATTGTTGGATGGATTAGCTATATAATTAAATATTGTAGGATGGGTTAGCTAGGTTATAGCTAGCGTTGATGTTTATTTCAATATCACATTTATTCTGATTTTTTTGTTTCAGTATGTGCTAGCTATCCCCATCCTTCAGACAGAACAAAGTATTTGGAATACGCGCCCGGAAGTGGAAATATAACACGCGACTGCGCAACAGGAACATATTTTATTTCAAATGACTGCGCATGCACTGGAATCGATAACCTAGCCAGTCTTCCTCTCCAAAGTAAGCAAAGAGCGAAAATAAACGGTTTGGAACTGAAATCCAGACATAATTATAATCAACTCACGGGACTTCTTACATATCTTTGATAAAACCACGAGTGGACCATCATCTTTATTATCGTGTTTAATTTGATAAATAATTTCATTATCTTTATCAATGAAGTCATTCAAATTGTTAGAGATTTAGATAAAAGTTGTGACACTTACATATCAGAAATTCCGTTATAAAATGTTTGATATGCTCCTGTTATTATGAAATCGAGTGTTGTATTTAATATCACCTTTGAATTGTTTACAGCGTGTAACCCTCAGGTTTATTTAAATTTCGATGACAACTTCAGCGACCTGTCTGGCAATGAGATTGCAGCCGGACTGGAAAACGTTGCCTTGGATACCAAAGAAGCTAAGTTTTCCGGCGACGGAATGATTAATATGTGGAGGTTTTCAAATTCTGATTTTCGTCAAACTCTAGTTATCACGTTTATGTTCCGACCTGAAAATGTGGGCACCCCCGGACCAATCCAAGCCCTCGTCACAAACTGCGTATTTAGTGACCAGGAGGAAGCCTCGGTGGCCATCAGTGTTGTTCCTGGAAGTGCTCCAAGCGTTCTGTATTTTAAGACGGAGACGACACGTGGTGCGGCGGAGGTGTTTGTCCCATACGACGTAAGTATTTAAATATTATAGGATGGATTAGCTATATAATTAAATATTGTAGGATGGATTATCTATATAATCTATATGTACCGTGTTGTGGTATGTGACACGTACCGTGTTGTGGTATGTGACACTATTATCGTACCGTGTTGTGGTATGTGACACTATTATCGTACCGTGTTGTGGTATGTGACACTATTATCGTACCGTGTTGTGGTATGTGACACTATTATCGTACCGTGTTGTGGTATGTGATAACTACAACAATGAGACTGTTTGGTTTAGCTCTCTTTGTGCTTTTCCAGGGATCTCCGTGTAAATCTTTCTGGCGTTTAAATTTGCTGTCGTTTCATTGAATTCAAGATTTAGATAATATGTCTGTATTTTTGTTTTCAGCCTTCTATAATGAGCAGTGTAGTATACATCTATGATGGAGTGACGCTGACTGGGCGTGTCAACAACGAGGTTCGCTCTACACCCCTCACCGGTAGGTACACACACTCATCTTGTCAAACGTGAAAACTTGTCCGGTAAGATTACGGAGGGTACAACATGAATATTTAAGTTTTACTATGCTAACCCAAAGGAATATGTACTATTTGTATTAAAAGCTTGATAGAAAGGACAAATCCGTTTCCTGGAAGGATTCAGAAGTTTAGAAATACTGATGTTAGCTATTAAATACACTTACTGTAATGTTGTAACTTTGATGTAAGTTTTTGACGTCTTGTTAATACTGTAAAGTGTGGTTGAGAGAAAATAAAAATGTGAAATCTCATAGTTTTTTTTTTTTAAATTCTAATTTTTAATTGATACCTGTGTCACGTGACTGTGAAGTATACAAATTGTTACCAATCTTACACCTGGGAAGATAGGTTTTATTACAGTATTGTGTATATTATACATATATCATAATAAAGTTTATATGTAATTTATACCTTAATTGTTCTAGATCTGATATCATGGTAATAGGGTTTCTGAGAAGCAGATTTTATCAGAGTCCATTCATTGTCAGATTTCGTTTCGGGAAAAGTCACCTGCAAGGCAAAATACTCGTAAGGAATTTTACCAGAAATCGTTTGTCTTACAGGTGATATATTACGTCGGCAGAGTGGTATCGTTATCGGTGCCGGAAGTAAGATGGCAAACTACAGAGGTCACCTTGATGAGGTACTTATGCTGACAATTCACATAAATAGTTTACAATGTGATCAGTCTACATTGATTTGGGGATTGAACAGAATAAGAGTAGAACTCTAAACAGAAGCCGTTTAGAACAAAGTTCGTTTGAATGCAATCTTTGACCGTAAAGCCATAGTAATAATATATATTGGTCATTTCACTTTTGCTTGTTATATACTAAATATTCCCTGCAGAACCCACTCCTTGCCACCAAAACAGCGAATGCTTAAAAGATTAATTACATTTACAACAATTTTTTCAAGTATTCGAGAATGTTCTCATGTTGTTCTAATTTTTGTTCAAATATGTGAGTTTGTGTTCTTTTTTTCCACAGTTCAAACTATACACCTGTTTTCCGAGCGGGACAAATGGCCGACGATGACGTCACGCCGCGCAGTACTCAGTTCCGACGAGGAGAAATTTGATTGGACCTTTACTGTTTTGTTTAGTTTCGTCTTTCGCTTGTTGACACTGTATATAAAAGTGTACTCCGGCAGTGCCCTGTCTGAAGTGTCGTTTATATATAATGGTATTTAAAGAGATTTTATATGATTAGTCATCGTTGTTTATTATTTACGATGTAAACAAATATGATTTATATTAGTACCGCTTTATTTCATCATAACAAAGGTCTTATTTTAATCTGAATTCTAATGTTCATATTTTTTATTTTGATAATATCATAAATGTTTTAAACTCGAGAAGAGTTGTACTTAAACAGTAATTGACATTGAATCGTTCATAGCTTTGCTACATTTCCATGGTGTTTATAGCTAAATCAGACATCTGTTTTATGAGTCGCTGTGTAATTCTTCCCTGTTAGGTGTAGCAGAGACATATATGTCTCTAAGTATAGTGTATTTATTTATAACTATCAATTATTGGGTAGATTTTGTTCTTTGTAAATAACTTTATAACATGTAATATTCGCTGTTTTTAAGGTTTCAGTGTGTCACAGTGTTGTTTTATAGCCGATATCGTTCAGTGTGTTGATATCACTTTAACACTGTTGGGACCAAATAACTTACCATGTATAATAGAATTTCAGGGGCATATCCTGTAAACCATTGTTGACCTTTGACCTTATGTTGTAAGCTTACAATGTAAAAAATTGTGTTAAAGGTAGTATTAGTTGTATGTTATTGAACAATCATTGGTATCCTGAACCTTAACCCTAGCCAAACCCTAACTCTATCATATAGCTGTTAATGTCACCCTTCCAATCCATTCTATGTATTGTGTCATCAAACCATAATATCTATATTGACATGTAGTTTCATTGTTTTTTCTATACTTAATGTAATTAAGGTTAAGATTCTAACCTGACAGAAAAGAAATATTCTCATTTAGATGTGATATTTGAAATATTCATTTTCAGATATAATATTTTAATATTCTCATTCAGATGTGATTTTTTAATATTCTCATTCAGATGTAATTTTTGGAATATTCTCAATCAGATGTAATTTTTGGAATATTCTCAATCAGATGTGATTTTGGAATATTCTCAATCAGATGTGATTTTTAATATTCTCATTCAGAAATGATTTTGGAATATTCTCATTCAGATGTGATTTTGGAATATTCTCAATCAGATGTGATTTTGGAATATTCTCAATCAGATGTGATTTTTAATATTCTCATTCAGAAATGATTTTGGAATATTCTCATTCAGATGTGATTTTGGAATATTCTCATTCAGATGTAATTTTGGAATATTCTCATTTAGAAACGATTTTGGAATATTCTCATTCAGAAATGATTTTGGAATATTCTCATTCAGATGTGATTTTGGAATATTCTCATTTAGAAACGATTTTGGAATATTCTCATTCAGAAATGATTTTGAAATATTCTCAATCAGATGTGATTTTGGAATATTCTCATTTAGAAACGATTTTGGAATATTCTCATTCAGAAATGATTTTGAAATATTCTCAATCAGATGTGATTTTGGAATATTCTCATTTAGAAACGATTTTGGAATATTCTCATTCAGAAATGATTTTGAAATATTCTCAATCAGATGTGATTTTGGAATATTCTCATTTAGAAACGATTTTGGAATATTCTCATTCAGAAATGATTTTGAAATATTCTCAATCAGATGTGATTTTGGAATATTCTCATTTAGAAACGATTTTGGAATATTCTCATTCAGAAATGATTTTGAAATATTCTCAATCAGATGTGATTTTGGAATATTCTCATTTAGAAACGATTTTGGAATATTCTCATTCAGAAATGATTTTGAAATATTCTCAATCAGATGTGATTTTGGAATATTCTCATTTAGAAACGATTTTGGAATATTCTCATTCAGATGTAATTTTTGGAATATTCTCATTCAGATGTAATTTTGAAATATTCTCATTTAGAAACGATTTTGGAATATTCTCATTCAGAAATGATTTTGGAATATTCTCATTTAGAAACGATTTTGGAATATTCTCATTCAGATGTGATTTTGAAATATTTTCAATCAGAAATGATTTTGAAATATTTTCAATCAGAAATGATTTTGAAATATTTTCAATCAGAAATGATTTTGAAATATTCTCATTCAGGAATGATTTTGGAATATTCTCATTCAGGAATGATTTTGGAATATTCTCATTCAGGAATGATTTTGGAATACTCTCTTTTATTTCTGATTTAAAGTTCTCCAATACTGAGATTTTTTTTTTGTTAAAAAAATAATAATAACGAATTTGGGTTTGCGATATCGATGTTAAGGGACATCAACATGTCTCATTACTGTGCCGCGAAATAGCGAAAATATTCCTGCGAAAATTACTGGCTATTCAGTATTCTCATGATTATCAACTTGATGTCGTGGATAAATTCCGCTCAAAAATCCACCAGACCTATCATCTGTAGACTTTTATCTCTTGGATATATAAATCTATGAATTTAAAGCAAAAAAAAAAAAAAAAAAAAAAAAAAAAATACAAAAAAAAATATCCCTACGAAAATTAAGGATTAAACAGTAACGATTTCCGTTAAGTTGCCGATTTCAATCAATGCAGTTGAATGGTGTGATCAAATGATTTGTTAAAATAATTAATTAGAAATCACAATGTACTTAGTTATTAGGGTAGGTTTTTCTGTAGTATGAATCATGATAGAGGACATTTCTGGTTCAATTCCTCAGTATAAAGTCCCAGACTAAGAAAATCCAGGTTCTTCACATGTGACCGATTCTATTTATTTTAAATAAATTCAGTGTTGTTCAATAAGACAGTGTGTGCCTTGTTATTTGAAAAATTGTGAAATAGTCAATTTGTACAGATGCAGTAATTGATGAACAGAAATTGAGAATCGTTTAGTAAACAATCCCTAACCCATTATATTTCTAACTTAAAACTTCGAAGTGCTGAAAGTCCTTTTGTTTTGGTTTTTCAAAATCTCTAGATTTTAAATGTTTAAGTCCTCGGCTTCACTGTGGTGTCCTAGAATGGCGAAACCGCTGTTTGGTGCAGATTAATTAATTGCTTTGCTCTATTGTATTTCTAAATTTGCATTGAAAGGTGCAATTCACTTGTGTGTCGTTTGTACAATGGTTTAAATGACAGGTGTCAATGAAGCAGAAGACGCTTTTCCTTGCTGAACGTCTGATCTCATTCTCCTTGTACTTTGTCCAGTTTATTTTTCCACAACGTTTTCCTGTAGTGCATTATTTTTTTGTAGGATTTCAGTTTAAACAACATTTTGACATGAAAGATAACACTAACATTAAAAATGTAGCTTTTACGGGTTTCCTCTCAATGCTGTTTAGTATACAAAACAAGAAAATACCAAGATGACAACATAATCATCACCCAAACTCTAATCTATGAAACTATGGCAAAATATTACAAAAAATTTATACAGAGGCTCCTGAAATAGTACAAGGAGAATATGACCAAGTATTCTGGAAGTGTGAGTGTCTTCTGCTTCACCGACGAGATATATTTCTCGTGAAAGATATGATTTCCTATTACTTGTAAATGTTGACGCAGTAAATACGGACAATGGACACCACCCCATGACACAAGCTCATTCGGCCAAGCGACGTAAAAGAAAAAAATACAATCTTCACATTATATATGTCAATCGTCTTCATTTCTACAAAATAATTTTGCATGACAAATTGCACAAAACATTTCAAACATTATATAATACATATATAATATCTTCAATAATAAAACATTTTCATGTAAACCCACTATTTCAGTAGGAAACTACATACCACTACAATACAATTGTAACACAGAATTCCCAACTTTGTCTCCGCTTTGGAGTCCAAAATATTGTCATTCTTGGTGTAAGACCAGGTGAAATGACAAGAAACCAGGAAAGATCAGGAGGATTTTTTTCTTTCCTTTTTATACAATGCCTTACACTTAACATTACAATAGGAAGGACAGATCAGGTACTTAATCTGTAGAAACATACTGACCAACAGAATCACGATATGTTGTGTATATGATCAGTAAGTAATCACTTTTATTTTCATGCTCTCCTGATCTGTACTCCAAGGGGGTTAGTTTTGTTTAATAAAGTGCCTGTTCACACATATAATAAACAGATCTTCCTTAATCCATTCACCCTACAGAAAAATAGGCCTTAAAAGACATGTTATTGCCATGGTTACCAAACGAAAAAATGCTAAAAATGAAAAAATACTGCTACTTCCAACCTAACACTACAACTTTATAGAAGAAATTTATTTCTGAACACCTGTCTTAAAATCTACAACACTGTCATGGTAACAAACTACTTACATTTCAGCAAATTCCAAATAGGAAATCCTTCATAACATGACCACATGTAAACACTATGAAAATTTCACTTCCTGTAAAGCTAGTTTTTGGTGCGTAGACACAGATTCAAGACTGCCCAAATAGTAATCTCTAACACAAATCTAAAATATTATTCTGTAAAAAAAAAATGAAACCCCACATTGTCCACTTCAACATGACAGGACCAATTTAAGCAAGGATTTATTTTTTATTTAAAACCTTTATAATGGGGTAATCTAATGAACAAAAATATCATCCACGGCCACACTGAGAAGCTGAGTACTACTATACTAGAGTCTTCACAATTTATGCCACTGTGTCACTGTTTAAGCTCAAGAGGTTTTGAACCCTGTGATTTAAAGCAGCTTGAATCGTCTGATGATATTGCCAACCAAAGCCACATCGAGAGCAACCATTTGTGTTTTACCCACACCCTAGAACATTAATATTGAGATGTGCCTCATCGGAAACATATATTGAGGATATCTGCAACTCATAGTGCAATGTATTCACTTAGGCGCCTACAAACTATCACCTAACACTGACAGGACTCCATGGAGTGTGGAGCTTTTACCAAAGAATGAGGAAGGTTGTATGT